AACAAACCCCTTAAATTCCCCAACACCCAGATTCACTTACTACAAAAGGTATGAGAGTCACCAGTCAGGTCAGGGACACACAACCAAATGAAAAATGAACAAAATCACCCTCTAATTTGATTGTAGGTCTTGATCCTGAAGGATATTTCTCACCCTGCTCGCTGCGCCAAGAAACTTTTGGGCTTTTGCGGTTCCCAGAGAGTCAGGTGCTGGGCAGAATCAAGGGTCTTCGATACTTCAATTCAATTCAACAAGACTTTATTCAATGTGCACAAAGGGAGAGCCCCTGGTACTAAAATCAGTCAGAGCCCCTCGAGCAAGGAGCCCCTCCCCTTGCTGTTTTATAGCACATGGCAGTTACAGGTTACATAACCCAAACTTCTAAACCAATCAGATTCAACCTTTCCATTTATGGCTTTGTTTGTCACATGCTTGTACTTCTCCACTCCACATGTTGAGTTCACGCCCCTCCCCTTGGCCTTTTCTAGACTGTTCCTAGGGTGGTGAGCCACAGCATGCTTCTTTATCCATACCTACTTTCCAAACCACATTTTGTTTAAAATGAACACATGCATACCCTTCAGAATGAGATCTACAGAAATCAGCAGGTTGAGTGGGGAACTACCTAAGCTACTCACTTGGCAACACCAAGGAGAAAGGAGTGTCCTACCCCTCAAAAGGAATGGGGTATCTTAGTTAAGTCAGCAGAGGACTTAGTACCTCCCTTTCACCTTAGGTAGAGCACTCGTATGGGATGGTAATGGTTTGGGTTTAAGTCCCTGCTCTGTATGATGTAGGCCAAGGACTTAAATGCAGAGCACAACACCAGTGCTCTAAACACAAGGCTACAGGACAACCTGCTCCAGGGCTCCCTCACTCTCTCCTGTCAAGGGTGTTCTATTGTGTATAAATAACTAAATAGCCATCTGTCTCTGTGCTTGAATTCTGGGGACCTCAGGATGGGACTGAACACATGAACCAATCACAGCAACTTCTTCCTATGGCTGATTTTAGTTTAGGGTCTGATCTAGAAAGTATGTTCTGGTGGGATAGATGGGGAGGACACCCAATTTGGGGCCCATGCAAAGACCTGGCCACCATGTTGGTGATGGAAACTAGAGATGAGATGAGGGTGCATGAGCTCATAACTAGAAATGTAGGAACCTGGTGTACTTCACCAGCAGAAATGTAGGTATCTGGAGGAATTCAGGCATTTACATGAGTGGGCAGTCACTGAGTGGAAATTTGGAAGATCTAGATTTTGGATTCAGGCACCTAAAGTGCTAGGTAAGCCTCACATCCCTTTGTGGATCTAGCCCTGGCACGTTTGGTAAGCATCATTCCTGCCTTTCTGCCTGTCGAAGGGAAATCTGATGCTGCTGCCTCTCTAGGAACAAAGAACACAAGCCAAAATTACAGGGTGGGTGACTCTATCCTGGGAAACAGGGATTCTGATAAAGAATTCTGGGTTGTGGTGGATAAGCAGAAGGTCACAATCCTGGGAAACATACGCTGGAGCATCTGGAGTATTAAGAGAGTATTAAGAGTCATTTTACCTCTGACTTGGGCACTGGTGTGGCCAGAATTGGAATCCTGTGTCCAGTTCTACTGCCCATAACTGAAGACAGATAAAGTGGAGAGGGTTCAAAGAGGAGCCATTAGAAAGAGGAAGGGATTAGAAAATCTCTCTCACCGAGATATTTAGATGAACAAAGAGACGATTAAGGAGTGACTTGATCAAAAGTCATAAGTGCCTATAGGGCAACAAATACATAACAGTCTGCTCCTCAGTCTATCAGAGAAAGGTCTAACATGAACCAGTGACTAGACGCTGAAGCTAGATAAATGCCAACTGGAAAGAGGGTGCAATTTTTAATTGTGACAGTCTAGTCATGCCAAACCTCAGGTTGCACCTCACTTAAAGACGATTTGCAGATAAAAAATACAAAAGCGTCTCTGCATACTTATTCAATGATTACACATCTGCTCATTTTTTCCACATAATTATAAAATAAATCGCTTGGAATATGAATATTGTCCTTACCTTTCAATGTGACACTTGAGCCTGTAATTCACTTGTGAGCCTTGACTGATATGCGATCCCAGGAAGGTGAGGATGAAGGTTGTAACTTAGCATTGTGAAGCAATAGACATTTCCCTACTGCCAACCTCACAGTTATGATCCCCTAAAACCATCTTGTGACATCTCCTGAGGGCTGTAACTTAGCATTGTGAGGCAATAGGCATTTCCCTAATGCCAACCCCACAGTTATGATCCCCTAAAACCATCTTGTGACATCTCCTGAGGGATGCAATCTTCAGGTTGAGAATCACTGATCTAAATTAGTTGAGTACCTCCTGGCAGACCTCTGGGATGTGTACTCCTGCATGAGAGTCACTGGACTAGATGATCGCATGATCCCTCCTGACCTTGGAATCTATGATCCACACAAAGGTTGTTCCATATCTGTGCTGTCAGCAGAGCCCAAAGGGGAGAGCAAGCATGGTTCCCTTTCTTTCAGCTTCATAACAGCCCATGGATTGGAGATTACCTTTTAGAATCAGCAAGGGGCAGATGACGTCTGTCTTGCAGGTCAGCAGAATTTGGGGAAGAATCTTAATTTTTTTCCTTATTCACCTAAATGCAATGAACCAACACAAGACCTACTCACCCTCACCCTTCCACTTAACCTTCAAAACAGGGCTTAATTGGTGCTTAGGAGAGCGGAGATAATAATGGAATATTATCACTGAAAGTGACGGTATTCTTTCTACTTTTTAACTAAAAACAGTGTTTTGGTTTTAAAGTTGGCTATTTTAATGCCACTTTCCTCCCCACACACAAACATAGAAAGGGCAAAAGACACATATAACAACTGAATGATGTCAAAAACTCAGAATAAAAATCCTTTCAAATATTTCAGTTGATTTCAAATTATGTTTTCAAACTCTTTATTTCAGTGCACAATTAAAAAAAAAAATCCATCACTTCCCAATAAATCTGATTCATTTGGTAGAAAAAAAAACTAATTAGAAAAATCCACCACTTCCCAATAAATCTGATTCATTTGGAATTGAATTTTTTTTTTCTAAATTGGGCATTAAATCAAAGAACTCATTTTTTCAGTTCATTCAATGATTTTTTTTCACATCTCCTCCTTTCCCAATTTGGCCTTATAGAGGGATTTTCATCCATTTTTGTGTTTCTTTATTTTAAAATGGACAAATTTAAGATGGATACGTCATATTGAATTGAAAAGTTGAAGCAAAACATTTTGCCCATTTAGAAAATGATTGTAATGGAAAGAATTCATTGAATTTAATGCAAAAATAGATTTGACTCCTTCAAAAATGTGTATCTTGACCTGAACACCCCCACCGCTTCCTATATTCCCCTAGTTCTGGTGCTGAGGTCTCTGTCAGAAGGTTCACTGTTATGCCAGACCTACAGTGGGGACAAATTTGAACTAAGGAATACAACTCCATCTGCATGAATAGTATAGCTGGAGTCAACAAACCTTAGTTTGACTTACCTCAGCATTCCCATTGCTGGAGTTGACAGCAGAAACCCTCCTGTCGACTTCCCTTCCTCATTGCGACCCAGTGGAGTATGATCGGTGATTGATTTTATGTTTTGGTATGTGTGAAGGGGGTCTCATATGTGTCATTGCTCCTTCCCTCACAGCAACAGGAAACAGACAGAGGGGAGGAGAATTCAGAAGAGCCGGCCAAGGTCATAGGAAAGCTCCAGCTAAGAGAACTAAGAAGCATAACGTGAAGAAGAAGGCAGAATAACAGAAGAGCAGAACAACCAGAAATGTCTACGGGATATTGGCACTAAAGAGGGTGTTTACACTGTGTAACAAACATCACATTGATTATAGCTTTGTTAATGGAATAAATTGAGGTGGCACCATAACAAAAGTCTCAGGGTTCAATTAGAATTGTTATTGCTAACACTGGGCAGGAAAGAATTTTCCAATGCCCAGGAAATTTTTTGTAACCACAAAACGGCTCTGACTGTCTGATGCTGGGACTGGACGACAAGGGATGGATCTCTGGATGTTTGTTGTGTTCTGTCTATTTCCTCTGAAATATCTGGCAGTGGCCATGGATGGAAGACAGGATATTGGGCTAGATCAACCATTGTTTTCATGCAGTATGGTCATCACTAATTCATATGTTCTTAAATCCAGAAACTTGACACTGGATAAGTGTAAAGTAATGCACATTGGAAAAAATAAAAGGCTGGGGACAGTCACAGAACGATTCCAGTCTGATTCTATCCTGTTTGTTTTGCATGCAGAAATAGAACAAAGGAAGTTTCCAAGCAACAACTGTGACATCACCGCAATGTTAGTGCTGGTTGGGTAGAAAAGGAGGAAGAAGCCCCGACAAAAGATGCTGAGAAAGCAGCACCAGGTCACCAGAAATGGGAAGGTGAGCAATGAGAATGAGCAAGTGAGAACCCTGAGCATGGTGTTGGGATTTTGTGGTTCCCAAAGAGTCAGATGCTGGGTAGAATCAAAAATTCAATTCCATTCAATTCCATTCAATTCAACAAGGCTTTATTCAATGTGCACAAAGGGAGAGCCCCTGGTACTAAAATCAGTCAGAGCCCCTCGAGCAAAGAGCCCCTCCCCTTGCTGTTTTATAACACATGGTTACAGGTTACATAACACAAACTTCTAAACCAATCAGATTCAACCTTTCCATATATGGCTTTGTTTGTCACATGCTTGTACTTCTCCACTCCACATGTTGAGTTCACCCCCCTCCCCTTGGCCTTTTCTAGGCTGTTGCTAGGGTGGTGAGCCACAGCATGCTTCTTTATGCATACCTACTTTCCAAACCACATTTTGTTTAAAATGAACACATGCATACCCTTCAGGCACCTACCTCCAAAATCCTTGAATATCTTCGAAGACCTGGGCCCATGTGGCGAGGTGACCCTGCAACATTTGAGTTCACCCTTGGAGGCTTCTGGGGTCTAGTTTGTTATCAGGCGCTCCTAAGAACGCACCGACCAATGGTTGAGTGGAGAAGACTTTTGAGGCTGTTAGGGAGACATAGAAGAGACACGGAGCCCAATTCTAAATCACTCAGCAAGAGAACCTATCAGCTCCCCCTATTCTTCTGTATGACTCAGTTTCATCCATGTTTTCTATGGGCTGTTTCCATGCCCATATCTGTATCACAGAAACTAGCGTTCCAGAACTCCTTGACGGTCACTTCTTAAGGGACATTGGAATTGCCCCTACCCCTTGTGGGTGCATCGCTCTGAGCCCAGCACACCAGCCAGCGTGCTCTTGGAACACAATGCCTAGTGCCATTTTTGCCTTATCCCAGTGCAAACTGGGAGAAAAAATCCCAGCATTTTCTTTGAAAAAAAACCCCCATCTTCTTTGGAACCCCCCCTTCAGGAGCTAGTTGAAGGCTGCTATCAAACCCCTCCTCACTCTTCTGGAAACTAAAGAAGTCCAGTCTTCTTAGCCACTCCTCTCAAATCATGTGCTTCTCTCCTTCTGAGCACCAGCAGGAGAGCAGCATCGGTAAGGTTGGGAGGCTGTACTCAGTGGTGACAGATGGCAGAATGAGGAGCCAGGAGTCTCAAGTTACCCTTTACCTCAGGGTGCTCGACTACCCCTCCACCATGGGACCTGCCCCTATTGCACCCTTCCCCAAAGCCCCCTCCTTCCCTGACTTTTACTGCCCCCATTCTGCCCCCATCCCACCTCTTCTTGTCCCCTGCTCTGCCCTGTCCCACCTCTTCCCCACCACTTTCTGCTCCTTCCCCTCTGCCTCCCTCTCAGAGTCTCCTGCACATCATGGAGCAGCTGATGGCAGTAAACGCTGGACGTGAGGGGAAGGAGTTGATTAGTGAGGCTGTTGGCAAGCAATAGGCACTGAGAGAAGGGGCAGAGCTTAGCTGCTGATGCATACTAAGAATCTGCTAATTTAATGTAATAGGAAGTTGGCACGTGCTGTTGCTTCTCCCTGCCACAGCATTCCCCACAGCTTTAGCCTTTCCCTATGACAGAGAAGGGGGGCTATGTTGGGAGAGGGCTGGGAACCAGGTCTCTTTGGCCCCATCCCCCTCTGTGGGGGACACAAGGGGAGAGCAGCAGGACACTACACTCTGAACATAGCAGTGCAGATGTGAATGCATTGCATAGGCATGCACAAGCCATGTAGGGTATATACCCCATGGTTCTGACATGGCTTTTCTTGCCTAAGCTGTGTCTCCCTGTCTTCATTGCTACTTACACCCATGCTGATGGATGGGGGAGTAGTGCACGTATACTACACACTGCTGCAAGTGTACACATGGCTTTTTCTGGGCACAATATTTCCTCCTATGACTGCAAATCACTGATGCTCCCACTACAAACCTTTGATAGGATTATAGCCGGGGCAGTGGGTAGAACATAGCATGTGTTACCACAGGTCTACAGGGGAACAGGCCAATGGCGATGACCCATTTCTGAAGATGGTGTGCTAGTCATGCTAGACCTCACACAGAGAGGTGAAGTCCTGCACATTATCTTCTCCAGTCAGGTCAGTCTAGGAAGGCAGCAATGCGAAAGATAACTACAGACACCTCCTACCTTTTGAGTATGCTTAGGAACAACTCTTATGTTTGTTTATGGACCTGGAGGGCACCGCATGGTAATTGGAAGGGATACTTCCCAGGATGAGGATAATACTAGAAAACACAGTCATGAATAGGGCCAGGAAGGATTTGCATGGGTTCTGATTTTTTTTAAAGGTGAGCTCCTTGGAAGGCCCTACCAAAACTCTATTAAATATTGTTTTTCAAAGGCTCATGAATTGTCATAATTGGAGAAAATCACAAACCAAAACTCGATAGGAAATTATTATTTATTATTATTTTTATGTGATGAAGACAGCATAAAAATGTACATTTGAAACAACCGCTTTTTTACATCAAAATAAATGTGTAAAAATCTCGATTTTGGTTACATCAGTATAAAATCTGCATCCATGTCTGACAGGCTATGTTCAAACTACAAAGATAAGTAGGAAAAAGTGACACAAACTGTGAACCACAATTTGTGTATCTTTTTTCACTTTTCTGTCAAAGAGTCTTTTCTGACATTTGGCACATCTACACAGTGACAAATTACAGAAAGAACTCTAGTCATTCAAATAATCCCTTCCTCCCTGTAAAACGAGGTTCATGAGGATGGCAAAAAAGCACATCTGCTTTTTTTATTTTTTTTTTTTTTGAAAAAGGAGAGGATGTAACATTGCTGTACCAAGATACCACTAGTCAGTGCTTTAAAAAAAAAAAGTACTGGGCAGTACTGTCCCCCCAAAAATATTGCCTCTGGTATCCCGCAAAAGCACTGCAGTCTAGATGTAGCCTTAGAGGGGTTAATCCTTCACCCCCCCCCCCCTCTCTCTTTAAAAGGCAACAGCAAAACCCAAAGTCCAGAGATGGAAACAATTCAATGTTTACTGAGGGTTTTTCCCCGTTTTCCCCTTTACTCCTTGTTTGCCCCCAATTTATATAGTAAAATTCTCACCTATACCTTAACCAAGCACTTTACAGAAATTTAACTAATCAGTCTTTACATAGTGTAACTTGCAAAATCAATCTCTCTTTAAAAGGCAACAGCAAAACCCAAAGTCCAGAGATGGAAACAATTCAATGTTTACTGAGGGTTTTTCCCCGTTTTCCCCTTTACTCCTTGTTTGCCCCCAATTTATATAGTAAAATTCTCACCTATACCTTAACCAAGCACTTTACAGAAATTTAACTAATCAGTCTTTACATAGTGTAACTTGCAAAATCAATCTGATAGCTTTCTTTGATAGCTTTGTCAATAAGGGAGAAGCAGTGGATGTGGTATACCTAGATTATAGTAAAGCGTTTGATACAGTCTCATGTTACCTTCCTATCAATAAACTAGGGAAATACAACCTAGATGGGGCTACCGTTCTCAGAGAGTAGTGATTAACAGTTTGCAATCCTGCTTGAAGGATATAACAAATGAGGTTCCACATGGGTCTGTTTGGGAACTGGTTCTGTTCAATAGCTTCATCAATGATTTAGATGATGGCATAGAGAGTACAATTATTAAGTTTGTAGATAATACCAAGCTGGCAAGTATTTTGGAAGAGAGAGTCATAATTCAATATGATCTGGTCAAATTGGAGAAATGGCCTGAGGTAAATAGGATGAACTTTAATAAGGACAATTGTAGCAAAGTACTCCACTTAGGAAGAAACAGTTTCACACATACAAAATGGGAGGTGACTCTCTAGGAAGGACTACCACGGAAAGGGATCCAGGGATGATAATGGACCACAAGCTACATATGAATCAACAGTTTGACACTGTTGCAAAAAAAGCAAACATGATTCTGGGATGCATCAACAGGAGTGTTGTGAGTAAGACAGAAGTTATTCTTCCGCTCTATCCTACACTGATTAAGCCTCAGTTGGAGTATTGTGTCCAGTTCTGGGCATCACTTTTCAGGAAAGATGTGGAGAAATTGGAGAAGGTCCAAAGAAGAGCAACAAAAATGATGAAAGGTCTAGAAAACATGACCTATGAGAGAAGACTGAAAGAACTGGGATTTTTTTAGTTTAGAAAAGAGAAGACTGAGAGGGGACATGATAGCAGTTTTCAAGTATCTAAATGGAGAGAGAAAAAATGTTTCCCTTGGCCTCTGATGATAGGGGAAGAATTAATGGGCTTAACCTGAATCAAAAGGGCTGCGTCTAGACTGGCAAGTATTTTCGTAAAAGCAGCTGCTTTTGAGCAAAAACTTGCCAGCTGTCTACACTGGCCACTTGAATTTGCGCAAGAGCACTGACTTTGTAATGTACAAAATCAGTGCTTTTTGCGCAAATACTTTGACGCGCCCACTCAGGGATAAGCCCTCTTGAGCAAGAATACTTGCGCAAGAGGGCCAGTGTAGACAGGCACTTAATTGTTTGCGCAAAAAAGCCCCGATGGCGAAAATGGCCACCGGAGCTTTCTTGCGCAAAATTGCCTCTAGACTGGTCACGGATGCTTTTGCACAAAAGCACTTTTGCGCAAAAGCATCCATGCCAATCTAGATGCTCTTTTACGCAAATGCTTTAAATGGAAAAAGCATTTGTGGAAAATCATGCCAGTCTAGACGCAGCTGTCAAGTTTGAGCTGGACATTAGGAAAAAATTCCTGTCAGGGTGGTTAAACACTGGAATAAATTGCCTAGGGAGATAGAATCTCCATCTCTGGAGACATTTAAGATTGGGTTAGATAAGTATCTATCAGGGATGATTTAGAGAGTGCTTGGTCCTGCCATGAGGGTAAGGGGCTGGACTAGATGATCCCTCATGGTCCCTTCCATTTGAGTATTCTATGATTCTATGATTATATAACCAATTATATTCCACAACCTTAATTGGTTTGTACTCAGCAACATTAATTATAAAGCAGAAAGAAACAATCAAAGTTCCAGACAGACCATACAGATAAAGTGTAGAGAACTGGGGAGTATAATGAGGAAACACTAAAGACATGAGGATTTCAAAACCCCAACTATTGATAAGTGGGTACTTCACAGACAGGAAACTATCAACCTTATTTTCTTTAAATTTTCTAGGCTCTTCCTTTTATCTGTAGGCAGTAGTTTAAATTGCCTTTCTAACATCCCAAAATTGCCTCATTTCAATATAAATGATTTGGACTGTGTGAGGATATGACTGTACATTTCTCAGCTTATTAGCCAAAGGGCAAGGATTCAGACTGTCATAGTGAGAGAAGACAGAATCACAGGCAGACTGTAATTCTGAGTCTTTCTTTTTTTATCCCCATAACTAGCTAAATGGTAAGGATAGACCTAAATTCTTAAAGCACAGGACTTTATAGGCAGGACTGAATATCTATATCCTAGTAGTGTCACTTCACTTTTATTCCTCTTTAATTGAACAGATTTTCAATGTTGTTTCTTTGTGGGAATTATTAAAGAATGGACAAACCTCTTCTGAGAACAAACAATCATTAAATATGAACAACACAGATATGTCAGTTACATTGAAAAAGGTCACCTGCCTGTCTTTGTAACTAAGGTAAACTCCAATTTTCTTGGGCTTTTTCTGCACCGTGATCCGGGTCCATGGGTCTGTTTTTGCCCAGTAATCTCTCCCACTCTGACCCAGAACCCAGAATCCCTCTTTAGGGGACAGGTACAGTTTCCCTTTTTTCGTTATGGATTTGCTGGCCAGTCCCAGGTCCCAGTCAATGCTGCTCTCAACATCCACCTCCCAGTATTGCTTTCCATTGGAGAAAGCTTCAGAGCCCAGCACACAGGCAGTCGAATCGAACCTCTCTGGGTTTGGTGGAAGTTGTTGAGGTTGGGTTTTATGTGTCAAACTCTTCTTATCCCCAGCAATGGAGAGCTTGGGATGGGCCGTGTCTGCATCAAGGGCGATGTCAGCTACAGAAATAAAATTTTGGTTTAGAGAATCACTCCTGTGATGCTGGTGACAGTGAAGGAAATACACCCTGTGGGGCCTTCTCCTGTCATCCCTCCTCATGCAGAGCAGCTATTGATTTGAGTGGGTATTTTGCCTGAGTAAGAACTGCAGGCCTTGACCAGTGCTGCACACTTGGCCTATTTATATTTCATATAAATATTTCAGAAATGAGAATTGCTTGTTATTTACATAAAATAAACGTGACCTTGAGCAAATTATCACACTTGCACTAATTCTGATCTGTTACATAGGTGTGAATCCAGAGTAACTTCACTTAAACTTCTCACCAGGAAAGTACATCATTACCATTATGACTGAGAGAAGAAATGGTCCCACTATGGCTATTGCTATGTGATGATTTGTGCATGAACTGTGGCAAACATACTTCCAATGATAGCTAACTCTAATGAGAAATTCAGTATCATTGATCATTGGTCAACATGCCCCTCTTACTACCATTATAAATAAATAATATATAAATAAACACTAATTCATTATAGTACAGTGTATTTTACTCATTAAAATAAAGACCTGGAACCACTAGGTTCGGTTCCCAATTCTGCTGCTGTGTGAGGTTGGTTAGATCACACAAGCTCTGTGATAGCTGGTTTACGCCTCAGTAAGCTCAGTATGATGCCATCATTATTGTCAGCAGAAAATGGCTGTAATACGCAAATTATTACCTGTACTGTCTCCAATGTCAGATCACCCATTGCTGTTCCCTGTGACTCCCCCACATCATTTTCATCTTCTCTCACAATAACTATTATAACTAACAACATTCCCACCAGTGCCCATTATCATCAGAGAAAGGAACCCATCACTGTCTTCATCACTGGCAAATGCCTCATAAACCTTGTTGACTTGCTCCCAGCCGTGCCTGTCACCACTGCAGTGCCCTTCATGATCTTACTATCTCTGTGTTATGGTTCTCATTGCAGTCACCATCCCTGCTACCACATCATCTTTGCCTTCATTGTGGCTCTTATCTTAAGAACCTCCTGAGGGATTTTTGCAAACCTCACTACAAATAAATCCTACGGTTTAGTTCCTTAAAAGGTATTTAGATGTCTTACTCCCATTGGTGGAATTTCTTTGGAGAATAAAAACTTAGAATAAACATGGTTAAGATCATGGTTAATTTTTTTTAAATCAGTTTGGGCACATCTACACTGCAGTGTTATTTGAGAATAAAAAAGTGTGCATCTATAGAGCAAGCCTTTTATTTCAAAGTAATTTTGAAATAACAGACTTCTTATTCTGACTTCTGTAACCCCCATTCATGAGGAGTAAAGGAAGGTGAAGGAAGAGTGTTCTTCCTTCAACTTCCTGCAGTGTCGATATACCCAAAAGTCAAGTTAAGCTACTTTGACTTCAGCTACATATTTAGCTGAAGTTGTGTACTTTCATTTGACTTCAGTCCATAGTGTAGACATAACATTGGGAGCTAGAAAGTAAGGACCTTAGGAGCTATGTCTCCGATAAGAAAAAGTTTCTCTTTCTAGTTTTTTTATCAGAGACACAGCTCCTAAGGTCCTTACTTTCTAGCTTCCAATGATACATCTACACAATGGGCTAAAGTTTATTTTTCTGTTTCTATATATATAGTAGCAAACATGATGATTTTGTTAACATTTGGATAGATTCTAATGTACTGAGATTTTCAGGCTACATCTATCAGCATTGGCACCTCTGTCCATGTGGGGTGTGTTCTGTTACCTGAATTGTTCTGAGCCTTTCTCCATTCTGAAAGTGAGAAAACAACAGACATTGAATTAAGAGAGGCTTTGACTCTTAATTTCCTCACTCCAGTAGTAGGGAAGTTCCAGACTGAGGTCACATGAAGATGCCAGATGCAGTAAGTGGAAATTCCTTTTACGGGAGTTAATATAGGCAAAAATGCCCCCTGAATGGTCATTCTATTTCTCTTTCTGTCATACACACATCACTTATACTGAACTAAGTTTAGAAATTAGGGCAGCAGTCTTTCTAGCTAAGATTTGTCTGTCTGTCTTGCTCCTCCTGCAACACCTCACAATATTATCTCTTCTCCTTGGCTTTGATCTGTTTCTAAAGCCCTCTTACATCTTCCCATCTTACTCAAGCAGAAAACGAACCTTTCCATCCACACATGCAGCATTTCCAACCATCAGCAGCTATATTCACGGCAATCTAAGGGTGCATCTACCCTGAAGCTCGGAGATGTGATTTCTAGTGCACTAAAAACCAACAGTGTGACCACATTGGATCAGGCTAGCTGACCAAGTACAATTCCAACTAACTCCAGAGTACATGCCTCTGTGGCCTCATTACTATTTTGAAGTAGAGTAACTCGAGCAAAGCTGATACTTGAGCTGGGAGATACAAACTCCAATTGCTGTGCAGAGCTATTCTAAGCCAGTGACAATCCAATTGTGGTTATTGAGACATTTTCAGACCCCACATGTAGCTCTTAGGTTACGTCTAGACTGCAGGCTTCTTTCAAAATATGCTTTTCGGGAAGAGATCTTCCAAAAAATCTTCTTCCAAAAAAAGCATCCACACTGCCAAAGGGCATCAAAAAAGTGATGTTTTTTCAAAAGATAACATCCACGCTGAATGGACACTATCTTGCATTTAAACTGTGATTTCTATGGATAGAGTGGGCACTAGGGCACCTGTGCTTTTCCTAGAGGCCTCTTCTTTCAAAAAAAACTCCCTCTTGTGTGTCCACATATGCCTTTTCCCAAAAGAGCTTGTTCAGAAAAGGTATTCTGCCTTGTAGAATGAGGTTTACCAATGCTGGAAAAGCCCCTCCATTCTTTTGATTTTCTTTCGAAAGAATGCAATTGTAGTGTGGATGTAAGCAATTTTTTTTGTCAGAAAAACTGCCAGTTTTTTTTTAAAAACCCAACAGTCTAGATGTACTCTCAGGCAATCAGTGCGTCTGTCCCACCCTTCAAGTCTAATATAGTCAATGGATAAGAGGTCATATTTCCCATTCTGCCTGGTATGTGAGAGCAGAGTGGGGAGATGCAATGTGCTGCTGAATTCCTTGCTATGAGTAGGGAAGGAAACAGACTCACAGGTTATGTCTAGACTACATCCTTCTTTCAAAAGAGGGATATAATTTAGGCAAATCGAAAGTGCAAATGAAGTGAGGATTTAAATATCCCGTGGTTCATTTTCAAAATGGCATCCAAGCACTTTATCAACAAAGGTTTTTCGAAAATGAAAGTGCTGTATAGATGCAATTCTTCCAAAAAAACCACTGTTTTTTTAAAGACACAATTTTGAAACTTTTTTTTCTAAAAGATCGCATCCAGAAGGTGCTTTCACTTTCAAAAATCCCTTTTTCGAAAAAGTGCTCAAATGCCATTATGCAAATGAAGCATGGGAAATTTAAGCCCCCTGTGACGGGTCGCACCGCCCCCACACCCCACCCGGCGGCCCGCCCCGCCCTCAGCCCGCGCTCACGCTG